ACGACTTCATTTTGGTACCATATTTTTCCTAGCTCAATTCTAACACTAACTGCTATCTCGCTTTTTGCATTTCGGACTCCTACGCTCTGGGAATAACCTTTTTATTTTTGAGAATATTTTTAAAGAAAAACAGCTGATTATCAAACTGAGCTTCCTGCTGCTGTGCTGCTCCCACCGTCGCTGCTTCTTTGTCCTTTTGGAGCCCCAGGACCCGGGGAACTTGATGTGGTCATCCCATGAGATCTTCAGGGAGTGGATCTGCCACCTGGTTCCAGCCCTTGTTGACATATGTCTGCCTGTCTTCTTCTCCCCAAGAGTTTTGCAGGATTTTTCGTAGTCATCACTGATGGATCGTTTGAGGAGATGAGTGTGACGCTGAGTGAGGCGTATAACAGGGATGGAAGGACAATAGCTTTGTAAACAACCATCTTCCAACTCTATAATTCTATGATTCTATAGGGGTGCTTTGAATGCAGTATTCGTGCTTCTTGGCAGGGGGTTGGACTGGATGGCCCACGAGGTCTCTTCCAACTCTATGATTCTATGATACTATCTTGGTATCCCTACGGATGTCCCGATCTTCTATTACTCTATGCTTCATTCAGAAGAATGCTGCACTCGCAGAGCTCTAACAGTTTTGTATTACAGTGTCAATGTTGATTTTTATGGAGAGGTGGCTGCCCAGGGAGCAGAAATGCTCAACATTTTCAAATGTTACAGAATTAAGCTTGGCATTGTAGATACCTGGTACCTGCTGGTTTTCACCCTCGATGGATTGTCACCTTGTCATGGTGAGGGGGCTTCCGTGTTCCAATGAACCTGCTGGCGTAACCATGGGAGTCATATACTCCCAGGAGGGGCCACAGGAGACCATCCAGACCAAGCCAAGCAATATCAGAACAGGGTTGTTGTAGGTTTTTCGGGCTGTATGGCCATGTTCCAGAAGCATTCTCTCCTGACGTTTCGCCTGCATCTGTGGCAAGCATCCTCAGAGGTTGTGAGGATGCTTGCCACAGATGCAGGCAAAGCGTCAGGAGAGAATGCTTCTGGAACATGGCCATACAGCCCGAAAAACCTACAACAACCCAGTGATTCTGGCCATGAAAGCCTTCGACAATATCAGAGCATGATAGATAGATAGACAGACAGGCAAAAGTATATATAGAAGACTGATGATTGACAGACAGAAAATCAGACAGAGGGAAAGATAGAAAGATATAGACAAAACTTGAAACATTAAATTAAAATTTTTAAAGGGACACCAGTGCCAACCATTTTTAATGCAACTGCATTTTAAACTGTTTCAAGAGTATTTGTTGTTATGTTTATTTATGTTTTAGTTAATTATGTCTTACTGACTATTCTGTTATATTTTTTATCTCAATGCTTAATCCTTCGTGGTAAACTCACTGTTACTATTGTGCTGTTAACTGGCGCTCCTTACAGAGAGAGGTCAACCCTCCTGTTTAAGGAGCTTCATTGGCTGCCGTTCATCTTCTGGTCCCAATTCAAGGTGCAGGTGCTCACCTACAAAGCCCTAAATGGTTTGGGACCCGCCTACCTGCGTGACGCATCTCTGTATACGAACCCACACGTTCCCTTCGATCATCTGGAGAAGCCCTGCTCACGATCCCACCTGCGTCGCAAGCGCGTTTGGTGGGGATGAGGGACAGGGCCTTCTCTGTGGTGCCCCCCCCACTCTGGAACTCTCTCCCCAAGGACATCAGACAAGCCCCAACGTTGGCAATCTTTAGGAAGAGCCTGAAGACCTGGCTGTTCCAGTGTTCCTTTCCAGATTAGGAAACTCCTGGCATCATGTCCCAAATGCACTTTGTTAGAGACCAGGATTGTCTGCACATTGAACCTACCTCCAAAAAACCTCTACATACCTCCTGTCAAGTTCAGCAGTTTTAAATTTTGTCCATTTCATTTGGCCCGGCCTTTTTAGATTTTAAATGCATCAGATGTCATTGTTTTTAGTGTTTTATTGTCTTTGCTTGATGTTTTATTATTTGCTTATGAGTTTTACTGTTATATTTGTATGTTGTTGTTTGTTGCAGCCTTGGCCTTTGTAAGCTGCATTGAGTCCTTCGGGAGATTTTGTGGGGTATAAATAAAGTTAATAAATAATAATAATAAATACTCAAATAATTTGCTGTGTCCATGTTGTTGTTGTTGTTCATTCGTTCAGTCGTCTCCGACTCTTCGTGACCCCATGGACCAGCCCACGCCAGAGCTCCCTGTCGGCCGTCACCACCCCCAGCTTCTTCAAGGTCAGTCCAGTCACTTCAAGGATGCCATCCATCCATCTTGCCCTTGGTCGGCCCCTCTTCCTTTTTCCTTCCACTTTCCCCAGCATAATTGTCTTCTCTAGGCTTTGCTGTCTCCTCATGATGTGGCCAAAGTACTTCAACTTTGTCTCTAGTATCCTTCCCTCCAATGAGCAGTCGGGCTTTATTTCCTGGAGGATGGACTGGTTGGATCTTCTCGCAGTCCAAGGCACTCTCAGAACTTTCCTCCAACACCACAGTTCAAAAGCATCGATCATAGGAATATACATACATTCAAATCATAAGCATTTCATAGCAAAAAAAACCCCATCCTCGTCCCACATTCCAAGTATATTTAATAAAAGAATTAATTTTATTTGGAGACTTTGAGTCCAATGGTTCTGAAGAAAGTTCATGAGAAATAATGTTTCCTGAAGTTCAAAACAGGCAACAGTAAAGTCCTTGATTCTTGCAAAGGCTGGCCGTGCTGCCATGGATTCACACTTGGGCCCTTGGAAAGCTAGAATCTCTTCCCAAGGTCTGGGGCCCCCTGGCCAGGCTCCTCTCCGAAGTCCCATGGGGGGACCGCATCAAGTTCCCGGGTCCGGAGCTTGGCAGAGGCGAGCGGCAGCAAGAAGCAGCATGGAACCGGCATTTTTGGCAATCAGCTGTTTCTGATAAAATATATTCTCAAAAATCGAGAGGTTATTTCCCGGGCGTAGGGATCCAAAATAAGAAAAGTGAGATAGCAGATAGGTTTAGAATTTAGTAGGGAAAAATATGACATTAAAATGGAGCCGATCCGCCATTTTATGATTTCGTGGATACCGAGATCCGAAAGGAGAAACTCCGTATCCGCGATTTTAAATAACGCAGACCTGGCATCCCCGGAACGCCAGGAAGGCATTCCGGGCAGGCTCGCGGTTCCCCGGAGCCTGGAAAAAGGTTAATATCATGCAATTTAATGGTTCAGGCAAGGAAAGACACAAAGTATCAAGCGGAAAAGTTAAAAGTTGCGATTTCAAGTACCTTTATTAGGGGAATAGCTACAATGTTAGGGCTTGGGGGAAAGTGATAGAAAGGCACAGAGGCTGAGTGCAGTCCTAACTTGAGGTGTCTGTTTTATTTATTATTTATTTCAATTACTTCTACCCCGCCCTTCTCACCCCGAGGGGGACTCAGGGCGGCTTACAGACGAAGGCACAATTCGATGCCTGAATCAATTAACAAACAATACAGAAAAGCAATTCAAACAGTTAACAAATTAAAAACATCAATACATAATGAAATAACAAAACAATCTCATGCTCAGTGTTCAGAGTTCCGTATATCCATTCCATTCCATCTGTCCTTGTTTATCGTCAGATCTTTACTTTAGCTGCCAGAATGTCCAAAAGCTTGGTCCCATATCCAGGTCTTCAATTTTTTCCTGAACGCCAGAAGGGAAGTCGCTGATCTAATCTCCCCGGGGAGTGAGTTCCACAGGTGAGGGGCCACCACTGAGAAGGCCCTGCTCCTCGTCCCGGCCAACCTCACTTGTGATAGTGGCGGGGTTGAGAGCAGGGCCTCCCCAGAAGATCTTAAACTTCGAGATGGGGCACATTTCATCAGTTAGTCCCAATCGTGGCTTCTAGGAACTGCGGAACTCTCTGCTGCGGGTCAGACCAACTTGAAGGCGGGAGCTTCCGCTGCCCTCGATGACACCTGGTGGGAGGGCCCAAGTTTGCCCAGGCCTTATAGAAACTCAATCCAGGTCTTCAATTTTTTCCTGAACGCCAGAAGGGAAGTCGCTGATCTAATCTCCCCGGGGAGTGAGTTCCACAGGTGAGGGGCCACCACTGAGAAGGCCCTGCTCCTCGTCCCGGCCAACCTCACTTGTGATAGTGGCGGGGTTGAGAGCAGGGCCTCCCCAGAAGATCTTAAACTTCGAGATGGGGCACATTTCATCAGTTAGTCCCAATCGTGGCTTCTAGGAACTGCGGAACTCTCTGCTGCGGGTCAGACCAACTTGAAGGCGGGAGCTTCCGCTGCCCTCGATGACACCTGGTGGGAGGGCCCAAGTTTGCCCAGGCCTTATAGAAACTCAATCCAGGTCTTCAATTTTTTCCTGAACTCCAGAAGGGAAGTTGCTGATCTAATCTCCCCAGTGAGTGAGTTCCACAGGTGAGGGGCCACCATTGAGAAGGCCCTGCTCCTCGTCCCGGCCAACCTCACTTGTGATAGTGGCGGGGTTGAGAGCAGGGCCTCCCCAGAAGATCTTAAACTTCGAGATGGGGCACATTTCATCAGTTAGTCCCAATCGTGGCTTCTAGGAACTGCGGAACTCTCTGCTGCGGGTCAGACCAACTTGAAGGCGGGGGCTTCCGCTGCCCTCGATGACACCTGGTGGGAGGGCTCAAGTTTGCCCAGGCCTTATAGAAACTCAATCAATTTGCCCCATATGTCCCAAAATATATAAAGACTCTGCTATTTTGGAGAGTTCCCTAACAACATTAGGGAGGATGCAGAAGGTGTGCTTCTTCCCTTTGGTTACACTGAGGCGTTCCAACGGCATTCGGAAGTGATTGCCTGAGGGCGGCCTCCTTGTGTGTCTCCCTCTTTGAGGAGGCGAAGGGGCGGGGCGGCGAGCCGAGGGACGGGGCCTCCCTCCGGTGACGCGTGGTGGGCGACGCGGATTGGCTGGCGCCGCCGCGCAGGCGCAGTCCGTCCCGCGTCGGCCACAGCAGAGCGAGGCTGCGGCGGGAGCGGCGCCCGGGTCCGGCGCTGCCTCCACGGCCGCCGACAGCGCCGCTCTCCTTCCCGGCGAGGCTCGGGCGGCGCCCGCGTGGATGGGATGGAAGCGGGACCCTCGGGAGCAGGTACGGAGGGGTCCAAGCGGGCCCTTGAGAGGGCGGGAAGGGCCCCGAGGGGAGCGGGGCCTGCAGAGGAGGGCCACGGGCGGAAGTGGGATTTTGCTTCCGGCCCTCTGCCTCGGCTGAGAGGACACTCTTTCAATGGCTATTAGCGCCTTAATAGGTGGGATCATAGAGAGACCCCTGAGGCCATCCAGCCCAACCGCTTGCCATATAAGAAAGGCCCAAACCAAGCATCCCACACAGATAGCCATCATCATAACTTTGGGTTTACTGTGAATTAACCAGGCTGTCTGGCCATGTTTCAGTATCATTCTCTCCCGACGTTTCGCCCACATCTGTGGCAGGCATCCTCAGTAATCCTGAGGTCTGTTGGAAACTAGGGAAGTGGAGTTTATATATCTATCCAGGGTGGGAGAAAGAACTCTTGTCTGTTGGAATGGTGCAATTGGCTACCTTGATTAGCATTCAATGCCTGGCTGCTTCCTGCCTGGAGGACCTCACAACCTCTGAGGATGCTTGCCATAGATGCAGGCGAAGCGTCAGGAGAGAATGCCTCTAGAACAGTGTTTCATAGAATCATAGAATCAAAGAGTTGGAAGAGACCTCATGGGCCATCCAGTCCAACCCCCTGCCAAGAAGCAAGAATATTGCATTCAAAGCACCCCTGACAGATGGCCATCCAGCCTCTGCTTAAAAGCTTCCCTCCTTCTTTCCCTTCCCTATCATTGGTGGAGTTCAGAATGCTCTTTGATTGTAGGTGAACTATAAATCCCAGTAAATACAACTCCCAAATTTCAAGGTCTGTTTTCCCCAAACTCCACCAGTGTTCACATTTGGGCATATTGGGTATTTGTGCCAAGTTTGGTCCTGATCCATCATTGTTTGAGTCCACAGTGCTCTTTGGATGCAGGTGAACTACAACTCCAAAACTCAAGGTCACTGCCCACCAAGCCCTTCCAGTATTTTCTGTTGGTCATGGGGGTTCTGTATGGGAAGTCTGGCCCAATTCTGGTGGTGTTCAGAATGCTCTTTGATTGCAGGTGAACTATAAATTCCAGCAACTACAACTCCCAAATGACAAAATCAATCCCCCCACAACCCCACCAGTATTCAAATTTGAACATATTGGGTATTTGTGCCAAATTTGATCTAGCGAATGGAAAGTACATCCTGCATATCAGATATTTATAGAATCATAGAATCAAAGAGTTGGAAGAGACCTCATGGGACATCCAGTCCAACCCCCTGCCAAGAAGCAGGAATATTGCATTCAAATCACCCCTGACAGATGGCTATCCAGCCTCTGTTTAAAAGCTTCCAAAGAAGAAGCCTCCACCACACTCCGGGGCAGAGAGTTCCACTGCTGAACGGCTCTCACAGTCAGGAAGTTCTTCCTCATGTTCAGATGGAATCTCCTTTCTTGTAGTTTGAAGCCATTGTTCCTCGTCCTAATCTCCATGGAAGCCTCCCTGTGGCTTCCTCTCACATATTTATACATGGCTATCATATCTCCTCTCAGCCTTCTCTTCTTCAGGCTAAACATGCCCAGCTCCTTAAGCCGCTCCTCATAGGGCTTGTTCTCCAGACCCTTGATCATTTTAGTTGCCCTCCTCTGGACACATTTCTCAACCTTCCTTATGCTGTGACCCCTTAATATAGTTCCTCATGTTGTGGTGACCCCCAACCATAACATTATTTTCATTGCTACTTCATAACTGTAACTGTTACGAATCGTAATGCAAATTTCTGATATGCAGGATGTATTTTTATTCACTCGACCAAATTTGGCACATATACCCAATATGTCTACATTTGAATACTTGTGGGGTTTGGGGGGTTTATTTGTCATTTGGGAATTGTAGTTGCTGGGATTTATAGGTCACCTACAATCAACGAGCATTCTGAACATCATTAATAATGGAATTGAACCAAACCTAGCACACAGAACTAGAAGGGTTTGGTGGGCATTGACCTTGAGTTTTGGAGTTGTAGTTCACCTACATCCAGAGAGCACTGTGGACTCAAACAATGATGAATCTGGACCAAACTTGGCAGCAATACTCAACATGTCCAAATGTGAACTCTGGTGGGGTTTGGGGAAAATAGACCTTGGCATTTGGGAGTTGTAGTTGCTGGATTTATAGATCACCTATAATCAGAGAATATTCTGAACCCCACCAACGACAGAATTGGGCCAAACTTCTCACACTGAAACCCCATGACCAACAGAAAATACTGTGCTTTCTGATGGTCTTTGGTGACCTCTCTGGCAGCTCCTTGTGACCCTCTTCGGGGTCCCAACCCCCAGGTTGAGAAACACTGCTCTAGAACATGGCCATATAGCTCGAAAAAACCTGCAACAACTCAGTGATTCCGGCCATGAAAGCCTTTGACAAGAAATCCTTTGTTGGTTGGCGTTTGCTGGCCTTGATTGTTTCATGTCTGGAATTCCCCTAGAACAGGCAGGAAAAGGAAAGGAAAGGAAAGGGCTGAGGCTGTTAAGCATTGTGGGAGTTGAAGTCCAGAACATCCAGAAGGCTTTTTTCATTGTCAGGAGCGACTTGAGAAACAGCACATTGCTTCTGGTGTGAGAGAATTGGCTGTCTGCAAGGATGTTGCCCAGGGGATGCCCAAATGTTTTGATGTTTTACTATCCTTGTGGGAGGGTTCTCTCATGTCCCCAGATGGGGAGGTAGAACTCCCTGGATTCGAACCTCCAACCTGTCGGTCTTCAGACCTGCCGGCACAAGGGTTTAACCCAGGGGTCCTCAAACCTTTTAAACAGAGGGCCAGGTCACAGTCCCTCAAACTGTTGGAGGGTCGGATTATAATTTGAAAAAGCCATGAATGAATTCCTATGCACACTGCACATATCTTATTTGTTGTGCAAAACAAAGAACACTTTAAAACAATACAATAATTAAAACGAAGAACAATTTTAACAAATATAAACTTATTAGTATTTCAATGGGAAGTGTGCACCTGCTTTTGGCTGATGGGATAGGATTGTATATAATTTGTTGTTTGATGTTGGATTATTTTGGGATTTGGGGTAGGTCATTGAGTGTAATGATGCACATGACTGTCTTAAGGTATTGAATGTTTGCCTTTGTGTTTGTTGGAATCCGCCCTGGGGAGATAGGGCGGAATACAAATAAAGTTTGTATTCACACTTGCCTCCAACAGACAAGAGTTCTTTCTCCCACCCTGGACTTTCAACAGAAATGTAAACTGGGCTCTTCAGGTGAATGGATATTCCAACATAGACATCAGAAGATCTGGATAAATGACCTTGGAGGGCCGTATCCGGCCCCCAGGCTGTAGTTTGAGGACCCCGATTTAACCCATTGCACCACCTGGAGGGCTGAAGTTAGCCCATACCTGCCCTAGAATCGTAGAATCATTGAGTTGGAATGGACCTCGTGGGCCATCTAGTACAACCCCATTCTGCCAAGAAGCAGGAAAATTGCATTCAAAGTACTTCCAACATCCAGCCTCTACTTAAAAGCCTCCAAAGAAGGAGCCTCCACCACACTCCGGGGCAGAGAGTTTCACTGTTGAACAGCTCTTACAATCAGGAAGTTCTTTCTGATGTTCTGGTGTAATCTTCCTTTCTGTCTTTTGAAGCCATTGTTCCTTGTCCTAGGGCAGCAAAAAACAAGCCTCCTCCTCCCTATGACTTCCCCTCACATCTCGATCCATGGCCCTCATCATTTCTCCTCTCAGCCTTCTCTTCTGCAGGCTAAACATGCCCAGCTCTTTAAGCCACTCCTCATAGGGCTTGTTCTCCAGACCCTTGATCCTTTTAGTCACCCTCCTCTGGACACGTTCCAGCTTGTCAACATCCCCCTTCAATTGTGGTGCCCAGAATTGGACACAGTGTGATTCCAGGTAAAGTGGTCTGACCAAGGCAGAATAGAAGGGGAGCATGACTTCCCTGGATCTAGGTACTATACCCTGTTTTCAGAGTGTTGTTTTTTCTGTTCTGTCCTGATTTTAGAGGTTGTTTTTTTTTTTTAAAAAAAACCTGCTAGCTAGATTTTGTTCATTTTCATGGTTTCCTCCTTTCTGTTGAAATTGTCCACATGCTTGTGGATTTCAATAGCTTTTTTATGTAGTTCGACATGGTAGTTGTTAGAGTGGCCCAGTATTTCTGTGTTCTCAAATGTGTCCAGGTTGGTTCATCAGGTGCTCTGCTATGGTTGAGTTAGTGCCTTTCATGTTCCTTGATTCATGTTTGGGCAATGCTGCATTTGGTGGTTCCTATGTAGACTTGTCCACGGCTGCATGGTATACGGTAGACTCCTGCAGCGGTGAGAGGATCCCTCTTGTCCTTTGCTGAACGTCGCATTTGTTGGATTTTCTTAGTTTGTCTGTAGATAGTTTGTAGGTTGTGTTTCTTCATCAGCTTCTCTATACGATCAGTGGTTCCCTTGATGTATGGTAAGAACACTTTTCCTCTGAGTGGATCTTTTGTCTTTTCTCTTGTGGCTTGTTCTTGGCCTTCCAGCTCTTCTGATGTCTATGTTGGAGTATCCATTGACCTGAAGAGCCCAGTTTATATATCTGTTGAAAGTCCAGGGTGGGAGAAAGAACTCTTGTCTGTTGGAAGCAAGTGTGAATACATACTTTATTTGTATTCCGCCCTATCTCCCCAGGGCGGATTCCAACAAACACAAAGGCAAACATTCAATACCTTAAGACAGTCATGTGCATCATTACACTCAATGACCTACCCCAAATCCCAAAATAACCCAACATCAAACAACAGATTATATACATGAGACTTAAAATTACACAATCAATTTAAACAACGGAAATTATTTCAACATAAGAAACATGAGCCTCAATTTATAAAACCACTAAAGGTTCATTAACATTTTAAAAATGAATTAGATTCCACAGCACCAACCAAGCCGACAAGACCAGAGTACAATGATGATATGCTGACACCGAATTGGGAGGGATAGCCAATACTCCAGAGGACAGGAGCAGAATTGAAA